GAAGGCCCTCAAAGAGATGGTGTGGCACAGTCGCTGCAACAATGGCCTCTAACAGCTGCAACTGTGTGGCTGGTCCAGTACTGGGTGGTGGTTCGTTCCATTGTACACGGGTCACTATGAGTCGGGAATGACTGGACGGCACCTCGCAACAACAATCAAACAGAAAAACCTTTGCTGAGTTTACAAAATCCCATTTCAAGCCTAAGCTTTTCAAAGGGAGGCTAATAAGCTTACATGAGGAGAAATGCTTCCACAACGGCTAGCCGGTAAACAGTCACACAATGAAAGAGCAACAGTGACAAAGGGACAGGTTTCTGCCAGGAGGAGGAAGCGCTGTCAGTCCATTAATTACACCTTCTTTATCCATCCCTTGGCAAGGAAGATGAATACCAAGCTGAATGTCAGTCTGGGAGAAACACTTGGGTTACTTGATCCTCTCCTTACACCCTGCCAAGAACTAAGAGGACACTAACAGTCAGAAAGAAGACAAAGTGTGTAGTACTTCAAAAGTGCCACCTGCCAGTCAAGTGCAGAAAAGCCGCCACTGACCTCCCCAAAGCATGCTGGCAGCTATTGATCAGAGATGGCAAGGGGAAAAATAAACGCGGGAGCAAACTGCGGAGAGACTCACATTGCACCATAAGAGAGAACTTAAACACACTTAATTAACCTTAGCTAGGGGCAATTAGCGAAGGGTAATAAAGTCCTCCACAGATCTGATAAAAATGAATAACAGCTTGCCAAAATCTTAATCTTTATGGCCTTATGTATTATTATGTTGGGGCGGGGAGGGGACCAATGTATTTTTGCTGCACAAGAATCCTTCTTATGTTTGCAACAAGTCACAGATCGATATAATTTTAAAGCAAAACAGGCATTAGAGCTTGTTCCTTCTCACTTCCTTATTTTATGGCGAAGGGCACTGAGGCCCATTGAGACCAGAGGCTTGGAGTAGCCCACAGAGCTCATTAGAGCAGAACCAAGCCTAGAAACAGGCACATCTGCGATAACAGTCTAATTCTATGTAGCCAGTGCTAACCTAAACTACAAGGGTAAATCAAAAAGGACTGTTACAGAACCTTAGGAACCTTTACTAGACAGAAATATCAAACAGTGAAGCAAATTTTTCGCAATACATCCTGCATCTAGGTCTATACACTTCTAAAGGTACAGTTTCCATCCAACTCTTCCCAGGAGACTGCTGTGCTCCTCGATCTGCACCACAACATAACTCTTCCCAGAATGCTGTGCTCCTGGGTCTACAGCACATCAGAACTCTCCCCAGAATGCTGTGCTCCCCGATCTGCACCACAGCAGAACTCTTCCCAGAATGTTGCACTCCTCGATCTACAGCATATCAGAACTCTTCCCAGGATGCTGTGCTCCCCGATCTGCACCACATCAGAATACCAATTCTGGCATTCCTCCAGGGACTCCAACCATCACGCTTTGAGTTTAGAGAACAAAAAAGAAGTTTGAAGGAGCAATAAGGGTCATAGATAGATTTCACCACACAAACTCTTATAAGGCCATCCTTGTTATCCTCCAAGAAGGAGCAAATGTATTGCTGTGATATAAAAATTCCTCAACAACACTTTCCTGGTTTTTTTTCTCACCAATGCAGTTTTTCCACTTTCTTAATACATGTTCCTAAAAAGCCACATTGATCACCCTGTGTCTGCTGAGAAAATCTATCAGAATTGTTGTTGCTAAGTGCCTTTGAGTCAGTTCTGATTCATAATGACCCTGTATAGAGTTTTCAAGGAGCATCTGGTGGATCTGAACTGCTGACCTTGTGGTACTAAGTCCAGTGCTGATCCTACAGCTCCAAACCTGGAGTCACGTATGATTGCTCCTTTGGAATCCCCCCAAACAGTGACCATAAACTTCTGAGCTGACTTCTCCACCTTGAACTCAACAGGCCAGCAGATCTCGTCTGAAGTTACTATTTTGATTGAATCTTGCACTCTGGTTGCTACTGGTAAATGCAGAATCATCCCTGGTTAAGACTCCATCTATAAAAGTGCCATTAGCTTCAACCATGCTTAAACGACTGGTGTAAAAGATCACCTCTTTGTGTTACCTGATCCTTACACAACACTGCTGGCACAGATGGTCTTTTAAAATGAAAACAACACGGAATCTCATGAGATACTAATTTCAGCAGCTACCACATCAATGGTAATTCTACGATCTTCCTGCACCAATTTCTAGACCTCAGCCACTTCCTTCACTCACCAAGGAAGATAGTTAGCTCTTGGCTTCATCTCTGACATCTTCCTGACCATCCTTAAAAATTCTGACCCATCAAAACCAACTGTTTTATGTGGCGCAGCATTCCCGTAAACTTGCTGCAAAGCTTCAATGATTTGGGAAGATGTCTATTTGAGTTTTGTTAAAAGATTTGGTATTAGCTCTGACCTCAGAGTGTGTGTGTGTGTGTGTGTGTATTTTTTTTAAACCATGGCACAAAAAGTATCTTTTTCATTAAGAATAAATCTGTAGGAGACCAAACAAGATGGCGGATCAGGGAGAAGTGCAGTGAGGAGCTCCATCAGCAACAACACAGAATACTGGACCAAGCAGGTTCAGGAGATGGTGCCAGAACTCTGAACCACATACAAAGGAATATTTAGAAGGTTGGAAGGCTTACAGCTAGGGGAATTTGTAGTAGAAGCAAGAAATCCATTGCTTTCTAATTCAAGACTCTCAGCTGCTCGGGGATAGCCATCTTGCGACAGACCAATCGGGGGAAGGATTAGAGCAGCCACGGATTCCTGACAGAACCACAGAGATAAAGGAAGAAAAGTGAAAATGGAACCCCATCTCCTGATCACATCTACCTGGAGGCAATTGAACAGCATAAAAAATACCAAAATACACACCCACCTAACTATTAAGGCCACAGATAACTCCTGAATATGCTCCCAAAAAAATAAACAGATTGACCATATCAGCAAATGTCCAGAAATGAGATTAAAGTGACTAAGACAAACTAGCTAGAAGTAGACCTACACTCCATACTGGAAGATGGGCAGGCTTTGGAAATGCCC